AGACCCAGTTGAGGTCAGGTTGTCCTTTTATGTGGTCAAAAGCACAGAGATGAAATATTTATCTAATTAAGTTCATGACAGAGAAAGATTACAGTGAGCTTATTTTGTCTGCAGCAGCAGGCACTCACTGCAACTGCATGTCACCACTAGAAATGTACAGATACAATATGTCACAATATTGTCAGAATTAATGGTCATTTCATCAATTCCAAGAGCTGCTGTTCTTTTCAAGGCTCATAACAGCTGTCATTTAAACACTTTCTCTACAGCTCTGCATAGCCATGGTTAATGCTACTTGAACACTCTCTCTGCTTTCCTGAGTAACTTCTTCCAATGCTTTGTAGACATGGTTCATCTGAACGAGAGCGTGACATCCTGTTTAAATTAAAGCTAAATTACTAGAGTGCATTCACAGCAAGAAGAACATGACACACAAGGACCACCTGCTCTGTCCATGAAGTCAACATGAGCTATGGGTGACCATGATTTGGCTTCATGAAGAGGAGATGGAGTAGAATTTCATGTATTTGACTTTTTGTAAGTACAAAATGACTGAGCAATGGATGAGTGAAAATCATATACATTTAACTATAAATTCATTGCATGCAGCACCAAATGTACAGCCTCATGCTAAACTCACCCTCAGTGTGCTCTCTTCCTTCCTGCTCTAACTTTTGCTGTCAAATCCAGAACAACAGTAGAAAGACGTTACCCCTGCTGCAGTGAACTGTTGCAGTGCTGCGGCAGTAAACTTCTCTATGTGATGCCTGGCTTGTTGGCAGCGTCAGCCCTGTGTTTAGACCGGCCTCAGCTGACTGACCACAGATCAGCTTCACATGATCAGTTCTTTCCGTCAGTTTTAATGCAAGGATTAAAGTGATGTTTGCTTTGCAAAACAAGCTATTTAAAGATTTATTGGTCTAAACCAAAACCATAAATGTGCTTTGAACACAGACCCCTTTTTAAGAGTTAGTGTTATCAACCACTGATATGATGGACATGGTGCAGGTTGTTAAACTGGGAAGCCTGGAATAAAGTATTTCTATTTGTATGAGTATTGAAACATTACTCAATATATCAATTTACTTTATTATAGAATGTATATTAATTTATATTTAAAAATATGACTTTCAAACCTCCAATTTATAAACAACACAAGCACAACTTATAAAGTCAAAAATATACATTTACAATCATGTAGTCCACATCACAATAAAAACAAATTCTACATAAATTCCTGCATAAAAGTTGAAGTTTGTTGCTCTGCACCCTCCAGTCTCCATATACAGGCAGCAACACATCAGATCCTTCTTCAGCACATTCTGCAGAGTGAATATCACACCCGCTTTACACCTGTTCTGTTTTTATGATGGGTTTTATGAATGGAAAACTATTTAAAATATTAGTATTCACTTTGGAGGGTCTCGCAGCCGAGGCCAGAATCAGCCTTCAGCCATTCAAAACCTTCAGCCATACACAGGAGTGGTCAGTGTGTACACTACTCACTGCGGTCTTCAGCAGGCAGGCGTCCTCTCCGAGGTAACACAGCTCCCCTGAACAGCTCGTCTCCATCCACAGGTGATCCCCATTCACTGCGTTGTCCTGCACAGACACAGCCAAAAGAGAAATAATGATATAATAACTCACATTATCCCTGTACATAACTCACTCCAATTATTTTCACTCACATTAAACTGCAACCATATGCACATAAACACTCAGCAGTGAACGCGGTCAACAAGTGTGTCAAGTACATAATTGCTGCAGCTGAGTAGGTGGGTAATTCACAGCACTGATTTAAGGTGCCAATCGAAACACTACAGGAGCTAGTGATATACAGTGGGTACGGAAAGTATTCAGACCCCCTTAGATTTTTCCCTCTTTGTTATATTGCAGCCATATGCTAAAATCCTTTAAGTTCATTTTTTTCCTCATTAATGTACACACAGCACCCCATATTGACAGAAAAACACAGAATTTTGGACATTATTGCAGATTTATTAAAAAAGAAAAACTGAAATATCACATGGTCATAAGTATTCAGACCCTTTGCTGTGACACTCATATATTTAACTTAGGTGCTGTCCTGTTTATTTCACAGATTTCCTCTGTATATCCAACATGTAGGAAAACTGTAATAAACTTATTATTAAATAACTGTTAAAATAACACGAAATTCCTGTAGTTGAGTTACCATAAAGTTCTCAGCTTTTTTAATTTTTTCCATTTTTCACAATTTTAACTAGCAGACTTCCCAGC